AAATTGTTTGTTAGCATTAGCACCAGTGTATGATCCAGAAAAATGGGGATGGAAGCGACTGACTGATGGAACTTATGGATTGTTGGGGACTACAATTCCTGACGTATCTTTGCATTGTTCTGAACTTGTGAAATGTTCCTGCAAAAAAGTTTGCCGAAATTGTAAGTGTAGACGCGGCGAGTTACGATGTACAAAGCTTTGCGCATGTAATGGAGATTGCAGTGAAGAGCCAATCAGTCATGATTCGATTAACTTAGATACATATTCGGATGATGAAAATACAGAAGTTGATACTAATTTTCTGTTTAATGATGATTGTTTGATGATTAAAGAGTACTTACCTTAGATTCATATGAAATGTACATAATTTTTTTTGGTCTTACCTTATTATTTACCGACTATTACATTTTTCTTACTATAGTTCTCATAACTTTTTCCAATTTTTTATGTTTATAAAGAAGTTAAATGTTGTGTAAAATTATTGTTCAATTAAAATTTTTAATAAAATCTAATTAATTTTTTAAATAGTGAAAAAAAATTTTTTTTTGAACAAAATGTTTGTGTCCCGTTATTTTTCAGTAGCAAATCATGTTATCTATCAATATCCAAAACGGCTTGCTGGGGTCCGGAAGTGAAATAATTTTTCACTAACCGACCTCACTAATAAGGAATATTGAAAAAAAAATTTAATGACCTTATTTTTGTCTGGCTGCAATGTCTTTCATCCAAAATTCATTAAAACAGTGTAAAATAAGTTAAGTGAATTGAATAAATTTATTGAAGAGTTCACCTCATATGCCGGACAATGAGTTTCTTTCATTCAGAACAATCTCGCAATGAACATCACAAGTGAAATGAAACAGTTTGCAACTTTAGTCTGGATGACTAGCATTATTGGACCCGTAGTTGAATGCATTGTTAGTGATGCTATTATCGGCTGAAGAGACACAATGAGAACACTTGGTAGAAATTCCAATTACGATCGCATCTTAGTTAGTAGGTGTGGCAGGTTCGGAAGGAATACACACGGGGCTGTCTGGCTCTCCTATCATCCAATACTTCTTATCAACTGCTGCTGATGCAACGAGTTGACTGATAATGAAAATAAAATCGTCATTACCAATATTAAAATCAATTTAATCTTTGAAAATTTTTTGAATTTCTAAGTATTAATTACCACTTCAAAACTTTATTTCATCAAATCTTTAGTTCTAATTTTTATTATCTTTTATAATGTTAGATGATTGTGGAAGAATTAATATAGTAAATTGTGTTTCAATGAGTTTAAAATTATTATCATTATCGAAAACCAACTAAGAAATTAATTTTTAAGTTTAGGGCTTACCATCCTGAGTAGGAAATGAAATAAAATATAAATGTAGGTTATGCCAGGGAGGGATGCTCCCTCAGTCAATGAAATTTTTCTATTCATTCCTAAAAGTAAATAAATCATTTTTAATTTAATTATAATTACAAACGCGTAAAAAATTTTTTAAACATAACGACAGCTATATAATAAATATTTCAGTTGCTGTAGAATGCATGAATTATTGATTAGCCATAAATAATGCCTTTACATACAAAATATAAAAAATGATTCTTTTGTGTCAAAAAGACTATGGAATGAAACGATGTTTAATAATTCAAATCATTTAAATATTTAAAACTATTTATATATTAATATTTAAATGTGGTGAGGTTGATAAGAGTTTGAAGTTTTAATTGAATAACAATATGCGTTTGCGTAGAAAGTATTTGAAGCATTTGACCAAAGAATCAGAGTTTGACAAAACCAATGTTTAACAGAGCATACATTGCAATGCGCTCGACTACAATTCAACTTTTAATTGCAATACGCATTATATCAGTCAACGTGTTAGTTTCTGCAGCCGATAAGAAGTATCTAATGATAGGAGAGCAAGACAACCCCATGTGTTTTGCTTCCGAACCTACCACAGTACTAACCAACATACGATCATTGCTTGAATGTTCTACCAAATGTTCTCATTATGTTTCTCCCACTCATAACACAATGACATGCAACGCGTTTAACTACTTTTCCGATAGTGTTAACGAATGCCAATTGTTTCATTTCAAGTGTATTGTCAACTACAAAATCGTTTCAAAAAAGTTGAAGTGTCAAGCTTACGAAGTAAGTTTTATGTTAAAAATTTTTATAAATTTTTTGTTTAAATTTTAATTTGTGAATTTAAGAAATTATTTGATTTCAAATTTTAATTTGTTAAATTATTCTTCAAGGATTTGGAAGCGAAAAAATTATTAGGTTAGTTTCAATTTATTAATAAATTGAAATCCTCAAATGATGCAATAACATTGGTAAAAATTCACAGCTAACACTAATGATCCTTCTTCTGTTATCGGTTACTTCAATTATTTTTTTTTTATTAATTTATCTGACATTAATTTTCAAAATCTGATAATTTGCAATTTACAAACTCAGATAGATATTTAAATTATCTAAAAATGATTCATAAATCTTTTACGTTTTGTCAAAAATTTTTAATAATTTTTTTAGAATAATTTCGACATTTTTAAAAATTGTTGGCAAATAAAACAAGACATTCAAGAACAAATTTACACAATTCAAAACTTTTTAAATATAATTTTTATAAATTAATTTAAACATTCCCTCCAAAAGAAAGTGCCTACCAAATGATCAGCAGTTTCAAATGCAACTTTCCATTCACATACAAAGGTGGCTTGTTCTACAATTGTTCCAATAAACTGCTTGGATTATCTAATCCATGTGCGCTCTACTTCTGCATCACGGGCAACAGGATTTTAGCGATTTGCCAAAATCCCTTAGGTTTCCGATTTTGTGAGGAATTATATGAAACATCTAAAATTAAAAATTGTCTTAAAATTTTATTTTCAGATTTTAAAGCAGCGAATTCTACAATTTCGCTGAATGTGCCAAATTTTGTTTCCCTGATCACTGTGCTATCTGTTAATGGATGGATCGTCATGCAGCAAAGAGTCGATGGCTCACAGAGTTTTTCTCAAAATTGGGCAACTTACAAGGTTGAATAAAATAGTTTTAATGCAAAAGTTTAATCATTATTTGCATTAAGTTTAGGTTTTATATTAAAATTTTATAAAAAATGTAGGCGGGTTTTGGAGCATACAATGCAAATTTCTGGTTGGGTTTGGAAAAAATCTATCAACTGACTAACTCAGCCAACTATAGGTTGAGATTCGAAGTTCTATTTAATGGATATTGGATATCTGATGAATATGACAGCTTTAGGGTATGTTGTCTATTTTTTTTAAATTGTACTTTTTTACTTCTCGAAATTTTTCATCTTTTTTATGTAGATCGACTCGGAAGCCCTAAAATACGCAATCCACGTATCCGGCTACAGCGGTGACAACACGGATATTTTGAACATGTTACGTGATTCAGGAATCCATTCTCAAAACGGGATGAAATTCTCAACTCCGGATCAAGACAACACCCCTTTCTTTTTCGGATGTGCTAACATTGGTTTCTACAATTCTGGAAACTGGTTCAGAACTTGCTACGCTCAAAACGTGAATGGTGTCTACAGCTATCCTGAATTGTATTACGATAGCAGGTACAATATTTGGGTTCCCATCACCTACTGCAGGCTCATGATTAAAATTAACAATTAAAACAACATTCTTGCTTCATAATATTTCACTGGAAACTAAAGAACATACATAAAATTCATTATTTAGAACAATAATTTATTCTATTGTATTTTTTAAATTTAAATTTACAGTAAACTTATTATTTTAAACAATTTTTTAAATCTAAATTGAACATTTATAACGAGTATAAATTCGTGACTAGTTGTTACTCTATCAAGTTATGCTACTCTGACACGATCTTTCACCCAATAAAACACAGTAAATGTATACGATCAACAGTACTTATCAACTAAAATATTGAGTTTGTAACATCTGTAATGAAAAATTTTATCAGCTTCTCACTTTTGTACAATTAGGAGTTTTAAAAATTAAATAAAATACTCACTGCCTCAAAATTTCAATAAATGAACGGTCCTTAGTGAAGTGGAGTGTAATTTATTTTAACAGGTTTGAGACAAATCTAACAATTATAGTTTTGCATTAAACAGCAGAATATTTGAATCTGTCGGGTATGGAAAATTTTGATATCTGAAATATTAATGAGAAATTGTAATTTGTTAGAATTCTTCCTTAACAAGAACTTAAATATCAGCATTCTTCGAAATTATTTTCTGTGAAAACAAATTACTGACCCAATTTTTTATCAAATTTTTTAATTATAAAAAAATTCAGTTTTTAACAATAGATGAGTTAGGTACTTTGTTTTTGTCAAAAACACACATTTTTTATAATGAGCTTCTTGTACTCATTAATTTTTATTTTATATGGGTACAAAAAGTTATTGATTGCATATATGCTCCTCCATTCCAATTCTCTTTTTCTCTCTCTCTCTCTCTTTCTACGTGTCTATTTATACAGACTTTATGTGCATATATACATATCTAGTCAATTTGATCTACAGGTTGACAAAATAAAATTTATAATAGAAGAGTTTTTTTTAATTTCTGAATAAATTCAAATTTGAAATAGAAATAGTAATTTCTATAATAATTTCCTTAGTCTTTGTGAGTTCATTTGCTGTTGACTTGTTGGTAGCTAACAAATATGAACAGCTAAGAAATCCAACTACCAATGAATCTCTATGTTTCGATATCGAAACAGTCAAAGACATAACAAACATCAGGTCTTTGCTGGAATGTTCAGCCAAATGTTCTCAGTTCAGTTCTGCCGGTAGTGACATTACGACGATGAATATTACATGCAATGCATTCAATTATATCGTCAATAAGTATCAGAATGATTTCAAATGCCTGTTTTTTTTACGTCAGTTATGATACAAATTTGTCGGCGGTGACACGAAATAAAGATTGTCTGGGATTTGCTGTTAGTTACCCCATAGCTGGTTCAATTGCCACTTTATTCAACAAATCAATCCTCGTTGGCCAGTTCCCTAATAGACTGAAATTGGCAAAGGTACTACCTATTTTCAAGGGTGGTGATTGCAATCAATACGGCAACTACAGACCCATATCGATTCTATCAGTATTTTCAAAAATTTTTGAAAAACTAATGTTTGATAGAATGTGGTCTTACATATCTAAACACAGCATGATTAATGGAAATCAATTTGGCTTCGTTCCCAAGTCATCAACTGAGAAGGCTATTGCTATGCTGTATGGGACTCTCATAAATAATTATGATTCAAGGAAGCTTAGCTTAGGCGTTTTTATAGATCTAAGCAAGGCATTCGATTTAATTGACCACAATATTTTATTGTATAAACTGTCTAAGTATGGTTTTCGAGGTATAGTACTGAGCTGGTTCAAGTCTTACCTATACAATCGGTGTCAATATGTCTGTATTGAAGGTGTTGAATCGTTGCCCAAGAAAATAATTTCTGGAGTTCCCCAGGGTTCAATCTTGGGACCGCTTTTGTTTATTCTGTTTATAAATGATATTTTTCTTAATATCAAATGTGTGTACCACTATTTTATTTGCTGATGACACGACTATATTCTTGTCTGACGAAGACCCGATAAGACTATTTTCTGAAATGAATAACTAACTGGTTAAATTCTCCAACTGGTTCACTGGAAACAGGTTGGTTCTGAATTCGAAAAAATTCTGCTATTTAGTCTTTGGCCCTAAAATCAAAACGAACAATGATATCTTCTCTGACCTAACCATTCACATAGGTGACTCAGTGATATCCAAAAACTCGTCAGCTAAATTTCTGGGAATTATTATCCAGTCTGACTTGAAATGGAATAAGCATATAAATTCGTTGGTAAGCAAATTATATAAAATTACTGGCATTATTTATAGATCACGCAATAAATTAGGTACTAAAATCATGTTAATGCTATATTACTCCCTAATCTATCCATATCTCCTATATGGAAATGTTTTTTGGGGAGCTTCTTATGATTATTTAATAAAATCATTGACAATAGTACAAAAAAGATACCTTAGGGTTTGTTTTTTTTTCTGATCATACACTGGCAATATATCCCGATAATAGTATCCTCAGTATTGAACAGCTTAATAGGTATCTAACCTTGTGTTTCGTTTATAGAGTGTTATATGATGCTGAGTTCAACATGTTAGGCTCATTTGAAACGGTGTCAACAAACACTAGGCAAAAAGGTTTGTTGATATCAATGACTTGCAGAACTGATTTAAATGCTAGATACTGGGCGGTAAGAGGAATTCGTCTTTGGAATTCCTTGAAACTAGGTAAGAAAAAATTTTCCGGATATAATGAATTTAAAAAATATATAGAAAACTTATGCAGATCAATGATGCTTTCTTTGTTTAATTTTGTCGTGTTTTATTTAATTGTTTTACATCTGATTGAATATTTAACCTCCTTACTTTAAGTTATAAAAATGGATTTATTGGGTGTATTTATATTTTTCGATATAGTAAAAATGTTTATATTTGTACCTCATATTGTTGCACAACTAGTTAAGGTGGTCAGCACATGCTTTCGTATATATGATATCCTGTTTCTTTTCGAATAAAATTCTGGAAATAAAAAAAAAATGTTATTATATAAAAATTAATATGGCACTCACAATGTTTAAAAAGGTTGAAGGTCAATCTTTCATGTGCACTTGCTTCAGAAGTTTCAACACAAAAACACACCGCGTATATGAATACGCGTGCAAACCACGCATCAAAACATTGCAAATGATTATTATGAACTGCAATTGCAATACCTAATGATCCGTCTCTCTCCGTACGTTTAAAAAACATCCGATAGATTTTGTAATAATCAGTAATAATTAAAGTACGCCATACACGTATCAGGATACAGTGGGGATAACTTAGACATTTTGAACCAACGGTTCGCTGGAGGGTCAAAATTCCAGAACGGGATGAAATTTTCCACTCCGGATCAGGACAACACTGCACAGTTAAACGCCTGCCCTACTTATTACATGTTCGGTAATTGGTTTAACTAGTGCGACACCGTAAACTTAAGCGAGATATATGGGTGTCCCCATCTGTACTATACCGCAACTGCCAATACATGGACAACTTTGACGTATTATCGGATGATGATCAAAATGATTTGAATGGAAGGAAACTAAAAATATCAAAATTAAACAACTGTTGGATGAAATGAAATTGAACGATAGATATAAAATAAAAATATGTACAGTAAAATAATCTATTTAATAGTTCTCATTTATGTTGTGCTTCTTTGTGTAGTTATTTCAATGTTTTGATGATCGCTTTGTGTTTTGTGATTGTGTCAATTTGACGACTATTTTATGTTTTGTTTTTTTATAATATATTTAAACATGTTTTTGATATGAAAATTTTTTGCATAATTTAAAATCACTAGGAGATTTCATTACTATTTTAACTTTTAATAAAAGTGTTTTTTGAAAATAGATCAATATGGCAATTCCATCTTAAATTCCATTAAAATAAATAGATATTTATTTTGTAAAATATTGTTTTAATTCATAAATAATTGAAATTTTTAAACGATTTAAATTGGCTGTAAGCTTTATCGAATTTCAAAATATTTATTATGTAAATTGAAAAAGTTTGCTACTGTATGGATCAAACCCAAACATAATCCTCTACTCTACATTTAATTACGTCATCTTTATCAAATAAGCTACTGAAACGCTACAGAAACTATTAAACTTTTCTTTTTGGTTAAGAGTTTTTTAATTTTTACTTATTAATCATATAACGAAAATCATTGATGAGATAATGAATCTATGATGAGATTTATGACCTTTTTCAAATTTCAAAATATTTGTAAGATTTAACGGTTTTTATGTTATTTGCACATCTCTACGGTTGTGACGTTTAAAACGAAAAGAGCTGTTAAAATTTTAAATATTAACAATCATTAATTTATATTTATTTGCTAAATTAGAATTTTAATAAATAACACAATACTTGAAATAAAAAACATTGAATTGTTGGAACGAAATAAAATACATTTTTCTGTTGAAAAAAACATCCATATCTTTAATTGATTTATTTTATTAACAGAACAATTAAAACATAAGGTCATAATTTTTAAATTTATTTATTTATAGCTGCCAAAATTTAATTTTTTCTTTTAAAATTTTTTATATAAACCAAAATAATGATCGATATTTTTTTCTTTGGGGTTATAACAGGATTTTTCAAAAACAAAGATACTAAGTGCAACCAATGTGGTGACAGAACAATGTCGCTTCGTCCTATGTAACAATTAGTATATATAGGGCATCTAATTATTACTGTTAGTGTTTTATCTCTGTTTTAATTGTTTGTAGTGTTTATCGCATCATCGGCTGCTAATTCTTTTCCAAATTTTTTAAATTAGTTGTTTTTTAATTTTTACTGACCCAAAAAAATTCAGTTAGATAAATTTTCTTATTTTATTGTGATATTTTTGATGCTTTTTGTTAAAATGTTACAACGATAAAATCCTGGTAGATTATTACAAAATTTCACAATATGATAAAAATTTCCAATCCAATCTGGCCAACATGGACTGCAATGCAATTGAAAATGAGATTCATTAGAAACAAAGTAAGCTCTCTAAATTAATAATATTAATTAAATTTGAATTATTTCATCTAGCATTTGTTTGAATTCAGCAATTAAGTTTTTTTAGTGTGGAAAGAAAAAAATTTTAAGTTATTCTTATTGTTAATTAAATGAAATAACTGAGGTGTTTGCATTTCTAATGGCACGTAACATATATGCATATCCAATAATACAAAATAATATACATAGCATATATTACTAATTAATTGCATAATTTTACTTGCATTTTTGTAATAAATTAAAATAATACACAATTTTGATTATAAAAAAAACATTATATAAGATATAAATATATATATATTAATTTATATATATATATTATATATATATATATATGGCTATATATATATATATATATTTGGCCTAACGCGGGTAATGGTTTACCAATAATACCTCTTGCAACCGAATAGGTTCTTAAACATTATAACATCGCGATGTTGTTCTTACCTATTGGTCGCGACACCTCAATTTGAGTTTCTTGGTTACATTAATTGAGTTGTGTTATCTTAAACCTTACTCGGCAGGCTAATGGTTTACGAATAATATATATCTATATATATATATATATAAAGTATGTATAATATATATATAAATATATATATTATACATATATATATATAAATATTTATATTATACATTCGAACAAGTGAACCAATTTATATATCTGGGCAGCCTCATAACTGATGACAATAATTGTTCAAAAGAAATTGATAGAAGAATAGCAATCGCGAGAGGAATGTTTGCATCTTTGAAAGTAATATTGAAAAACGGTAATGTATCTATAAAAACAAAATTAAAGATCGTAGAAGAGTGTGTGTTTTCTACATTGATGTATGCATGTGAGGCTTGGACGTTGAAGAAAAGAGACAAAGATAAACTGGAAGCATTCGAGATGCATTGTTATAGAAAGTTGCTGGGAATCAGTTGGAGACAAAAGATAAGAAACGATGCCATAAGAAAACAACTTGGAAGACAAAAAACTGTGTATGAAAGTGTCAAGGAAAGAAAGCTGGGTATTTTTGGGCACATCTGCAGAATGACAAACGACAGACTGATCAAAAAAGTACTGATGAGAAAGAGGGACTGGAAGAAAAAAGTTGGAAGACCTGTGAGGAAGTGGATGGATGATATCACGGAATGGACGGGGGTTGGAACATTGGGCTCAATGAAGATGGCGAGGGAAAGAAAAGGATTTTGGAGAGATAGAAGAATACCATCGGCCTCAAAGGTCCCTCAAGGGATTACAGAGGATCATTGAATGAATGAGTGAAATATACTATACATATATATATATATATATATATATATATATATAATATATATATATATATATATGATACATACATATTGTTGAACGGTTTTGAACGGTTTGGCCGCATTTGAATTTCTCTATATTTTTCTCTTATTTTGGTGATTTGTTCGATGTTATATTGTTAATTTTGGTATTAATTTATAGTTAAAATTAGGGGATGTATTAATATATTTTTATTTTCAGGATTAATATTAAAATTAAGTAAATATTTCGAAAATTAATCAAATGGTTTAAACTGTATTGGTAATATATACGTTTGTTATTTTCTGTTGTGAGTTCGTACGGTTGTTTTATATAGCTATTTGTTATCTGGAATTTTGCAATGGCGAGTAAATGAACAAAGTGCGCAAAAGTTACTAAAGACGGTGTGCAATGTGTGCAATGTTTTCAATGTGAAAATATTTTTCACGCAAAATGTGTTGGAGTAAATGATGAGGTTGTTGAGGTAATACGTACTTTGTTGAATTTCAAATGGTACTGTGATATTTGTTTGAAGACGGTATCCAACATTAGATTATTGACAAAGACAGTAAATGATAATAACAATGAAATCAAGTTGAAGGTGGATCATATTAATGATGCGAATATTTCGTTAAAACATGAACTGGACATGATCAAAAATATGATTAAAGATAATGATTCAAAATTAGAAAAGCTTTATGAACCAGGTTCCAAGTTAAGTGTTGAAATTGATCATTTTAAAAGTGAATTGCAAAAAACATGGGCAAGTGTTGTTGGCCAGGAGGTTAAAAAAGGTATGCAAAGCATTAATGTTGAAGTAAAAACAGTACAAAAAACATTAGAGGAAGCACAGGAAATAAAAGAGAGAGAAAAAAACATGGTGTTTAATGTAACTGAAGGAGATAATGACAGAGATCGAGTCAAGGAAATAATCAAGAAACTGTCGAGTGATTCTGATATGAAAAGAATAATAAGACTGGGTAAAAGGGTTGAATCAACAAATAGGCCAATTTTGATAGTGATGGATAACATTTCAGCTAAAGAGTTGGTGATAAAGAGTTCATACAAACTTAAGCAAATGTCTGAAGAACTTAGTAAGGTATGGATTGCCAATGATCTGACTGCTGAACAGAGGAGTGGATTGAAAAGTTTGATTGCTAATGCAAAGTCAAGAGAAGCTGCATGTACGGGAGGTTTTTTATACAGGGTCAGAGGACCTGTGGGAAAGTGGCGGATCGTGAGTTTCAAAAAGTCATAAAAGGTAAAGGTAAAAGTCAGAAAAACAATGGTTGTAAAATGCTTAACAATGTTAAAATAGGACTAGGGCTTTTGAATATTAGGTCAATTTTGTCGAAATATGATAGAGTGTATGAGGTAATTTGCGATGGTTTGGATATCTTAGTTTTGACTGAAACATGGCATGGGTCTAGTAATGAAATTGCTGTTAGGCGGGCAATGCCACCAGGTTATAATTTTGTGGATTTTGTCAGACCTCATGATCCATTTCATGGTGGATTAATAATTTATTTTAAAAGATGTTTTAATTTGAAACTCATCAGATTACCTGTGTTAAAGACTTTTGAGGCATTAGCCATTAAATTAAAAATAAATGGAACTCATATTGTTTTATTGGCTGTTTATAGACCAGGATCGGCTTTAATTTCATCTTTATTCTTTCAGGAACTTGTTGCTGTTTTAGAGATAATATCCTTGCTTAGTAACAATGTTGTCTTAGCTGGTGATTTTAGTGTGCATGTAGAGAAACACATGGATCCTCACAGTGTGTCATTATGTGAGATTTTTGGTAATTTTAATCTTGTTAATAGAATAAATGAACCAACGCATGAATTAGGAGGTGTGTTAGACCTGATTATCACTTCTATGTCTTTTCCAGTTTTCGATATTAGAGTTCTGCCTCCGGGAGTTTTCTCTGATCATGGTTTGGTTCAGGCATGTTTATCAATTGATCAAGTTATAAGAATGAAAAAAAAGGATGGTTCGATCTTGGAAAAACATGAATCATGATCGTTTTATTTCTTTGGTTCTTGATTCTCCTTTAAGTAGATTATGCCAGGGTGAAAATACTGATGATTTATGGAATTTATTTGAAAGTGAAATGACGAAAATCACTGAAATAGTTGCACCTTATCGTATGGTTGATGTTAAAGAGAATCCGATGGCACCTTGGTTTGATTCTGAATGTAGACGGTCGAAGGCTTATTGTAGAAAAATGGAAAAACGATATAGAAAAACGTTGAAGGAAGAAGATAAAAAAAACTGGGTAATGGCCATGAAAGCAAAAAGTTTCATATACACTCAAAAGAAAAATCTATATTAGAAGGAGCTCGTTAAGGAAAATCAAAATAATCCAAAAAAAATTTGGAGTATTATTAATAAATTGTTGTGTAAGGAAAGTGGTAGTGGCAGTTTAAAAGATGCCACTGACCATACAGCTCAAAAATTTTTAACGTTTTTCAATAATAAAATAGATAAAGTTCGAGAATCGACGAAGACTGCAGATTATCCAAACTTCAATCAGTCAGAGTTCAAAGTTGAAAATGTGTTCTCTACTTTTCCAGTATGCACTGAAGATGATGTTAAAAGAATAGTTCTAAGTTCTCCATCAAAATCGTGTTCGTTGGATATTTTGCCTACGCACATTTTTCAGAAACATATAAATTTGTTTACTAGGTTTTTAACCAGTTTTATTAACCTTTGTTTCAAACAAGGCAACTTTCCAAACAGACTTAAACATGCGATTGTTACACCGCTGTTAAAAAGACCAGGCATGGACATTAATGATTTAAACAACTATAGACCAGTGTCCAATCTCTCGTTTATTTCAAAGGTGATTGAGAGAATTGTTGCCAAGGAGCTGTTGACGCACATACGCCAGAACAATTTATTGCCTGTGTTTCAGTCAGGATATAGACAACATCATTCAACGGAAACGGCTTTGTTGCAGGTTTTATCGGTTTTGTTGGAAAACATCGATGTTGGAAATTCTTCCCTGCTGGTATTTTTAGATATGAGCGCAGCTTTTGACTGCGTTGATCACGATATCCTCTTAAGACGACTGGCGATCTGTTTTGGTTTATCAGGTACAGTGGAATTATGGTTTCGGTCTTATTTGTTACAACGAACGCAACAGGTGTTATTTATGGATGATTTATCGGCAATTCATTTGGTTTCAACTGGTGTGCCGCAGGGCTCGGTGTTCGGACCAATATTATTTTTGTTATATACGGCTGAGATTTTTAATATACTGGATTTTCATGGATTTATGGGTCACGCTTTTGCAGACGATATTCAGATAACAGTAAATGGACCCCCAGAAAGATTCCAATCTATAGTTGATAACTTTGTCCAGTGTTTATCGGATATTAATGACTGGATGGCAACAAATCGATTGAAGCTAAATCGGAGCAAGACTCAACTGTTGCCAGTTGGTACATGGCAGCAGCTTTCTAAGATGAATATAGATTCTGTTTTGATTGACGATTTGAATATACAATTTTGTTCCACAGCAACAAGTCTAGGTTGGATATTAGATTCCAGATTGACAATGGTTGAACATATAAAATTTTTATCCAGAGTATGTACTGTTCAATTACGAAAATTGAATTTGATAAGAAGATCAATTGATAAAAAAACGGCTGAATGTTTGGTTCATGCATTCATTTACTCGAGACTCGATTACTGTAATAGTTTGTATTATGAGAAGTCAATTGCTATGATTCAGTCTATTCATAATCGTGCAGCAAAAGTCGTGGTTGGTGGGGCAAAGTTTGATCATGTAACTCTTATATTTAAAGAACTGCACTGGTTGACGATCGAACAACGGGTGATTTCCACAATATCTATGATCATGTTCAGATGTTTGAATGGATGCGCACCAAAATACCTCGTTGACAAATGTTGNCCACGAGTGGTTTCAACACGAACAATTCGACTTCGGTGTGATGAATTGAATTACATGATGGTTCCGCCTACCCGTTTGAAGATTGGAACAAGAAATTTTTCAGTTTGTGGACCAGCTGTGTGGAATAGCCTTCCTTTTTATTTAAGAAATCAGGATTTAAATTTAATTATGTTTAAGAAATTATTGAAAACTTACCTGTTTTTGTTGTAGCAAACAATTTATGTTTATGATTTATTGATGATTTATTGAATTTATTTATAGATTTTATAGATGCGGTCATTCATGAATTTATTGCATTATTTATGATGGCGCCTTTGAGATAATAATTTAATTGGCGCTGTATAAATGTCCTGATAATAATAATAATAATAATATATATATATATATATATATATATGTGTGTGTGTGTGTTTGTGTGCGTGTGTGTGTGTGTGTATAATATATGGATCTTTTGGCATTTACAAAACAGTTCAAATAAAACAAATTTTGTTTAATAAATTTCATAGATGCATTGCTATTCATATACAAATAGAAATAAGATGTCTCTTTATACATCACTGGTACTTTGCATTGCTGAATTTTATACAGCTCTTCTCAAGAAATAATTTAACTTTTAAAGAAATATAGCAAATGAAGCAGAGTATGACTGTGAGGATTTTCAAGTATATGTAGCTCACTGAGCAGGGCCACTTTGACTAAATTTTCCAATCACTTACTATACAATACAATCTAATACAATACAGTACAATACAGTTTACCAATTACAGTACACTACAAATTACAACTCTCATTCAGTTTTAAAAGTTTACAAATCACAATACAATACAAATTACAAAACACATTTATTTTAAAAATCTATAGATTGTTAAATCACATTGTTTACAAGTACTCTTCGTTCGATTTCATGTTCACACGTGTTCACATTTATTTTACGAGTTAGCTTCAGAAACAACTTTCTTAATGTTGCATAATTAGGCACATACAAAAAGCGACAGCATGCAAACACAAACATAGATACATATTTAAGCTTATAATTATAAACACGCACACACACAGACACACACACAAACACGCATAAATACGGATAAGTAATAGAACCCTGCGCGGTTTGCGGTTGTCGCGGTTTAAACCGCAAAAACCCCAACGCAACCGCGGTTTTTTGCGGTTGCGGTGCATAAATCGGTTTTTTAGCGGTTTTGAAATGTGCGGTTTTTCCGCGGCGCGGTTTTTTTTATCAAAAAATTTTGTTAAATACTTTTGTTCGTTCATAACATTTTAAAAATTGCATTATCATTGTAATAATTTTTATATATAGTGTCTTTGAAAAATCTTGATATCTTTGGAAGCCGTTGAAGCAACCATTTTCTTTTTCCTGTTTACTTTGAAAGAAGTAGTTATTTTATTTACGGGTGTTTCGTCAGAAAAGGTAGGATCATCTCTCAATTATACACTGCAAGAGACGGTCCAGTTTAAATCCATACAAAATTGACAAAATGTTATTTATTAAAAGTAACAGTGATTTGGATGTAGATAGTCGTGATTTATAATGTCAATAAAAGCATTAATGTTGTTTTTCATTTCTTGCGGTTGCGGTGCGGTTGCGGTTTTCGGCGGTGCGGTTGCGGTGCGGTTTCAAATGTTACGGTTTTGTGCGGTTGCGGTTTTTGAAAATTACAACCGCGCAGGGCTCTAATAAGTAATACGATAGCTGTCACCACCGCCCTCATCTTCGTGAGAACTGATAGAACATGATAGAACGTAAAACTACTTCTTTCATAAGTTATCCCATCAGAGTAATCTTGCTCTAGTCTGTCTTATGAAACATTTTAAAATTAAATAATAACCGTAATGCCGTTTTCTTTAAAAAAAGAAGTGTTGAATTCTGTTATTCAACAAGTTCAATAGCTAATTTTATAATGAAAGATGATGTTTGGGTCAAAAAATGTTAATATCTGGAATTGCCCAATTGCTAACGACCAGTTATAAGCAGTGGGCCTAGCTTTTTTGCTGGAAACACACAAGGCAGCGTGGTTGCAGTTTATCTTGTGCCCAAGAGAGCACTGTTGTAAGCAGTGCCACTGTTGTAAGCAGTGCACCTAGCCTTTGGGTCAAAGATCCCTGTTCCACAAGGCAGGGAATTTAGAATAGAAGATCATCCGCTGTTCGAGCCGTTGTTCTAGGATCCCCCGTCTCTTTCACCGTTGTCTTCTTTCTTCGCGGCATTTTATTCCGTATTATTTGATGCAATCCTAGAAAGTCTCCCTGTCCAGGATTTTCCCCTATCCACCACGGCTTCATGGCAGGGAGATCCACCATTCATGCTATCTATATCATTTGTCAACTACAGGAAAAATACATGGCAAAGCAAAAGCGACTGTTCCATGTCTTTGTGGACTTGGAAAAGGCTTTTGACAGAGTGCCTCGTGAGGCAATCAGGTGGAGTCTACGTAGACAGCTTGTTCCAAAATATCTGGTTCGGCTGGTTATGGCAACGTACTCTAACACAACGTACTCTGGTCAGCGCAACAGCCAGTAAAACGAATGAATTTGACATTAACGTCGGCGTCCATCAGGAATCAATACTCAGTCTCCTGCTCTTCATCACGGTGATGGAAGAAATAACCAAACCGATACGCTCAGATAACATATGTAATGTCATATATGCAGATGATATCGTTCTGACAGCGGCCTCAGAACAAGACGCAGCCAGAAAGTTTGAGGTCTGGAATACCCAGCTCGTCGAACACGGGTTAAAGTAAACCTGGTCAAAACCAAAACTATGATCGCCGGTAGTACTGCTGAACCCGTGGTTTCTGGTCATTGGCCATGTTTGCTGTTTGGGGCTGGAGTTGGAAGCATTTTGATCAAATGCCTACGATGTCAGCAGTAGTGTCAGAAACGGTGCTCGAGAATTACCGGCTCACTGAGGAAAGTGACTGATTTCGTATGCCCCGCCTGCATCAACCCAGCCCTGATAATGATACGATTACCTGGGTTCAAAACTGTTACTTCATTTCAGTATTTGGGAGATGTGCTGGATTGTACTAGAACAGCTGATGCCGCCGTTCGTGACGCATATGTGCGACGGATGGCACCTTCTTGCCTCGGTGCTGATGCGGCGTAGCATTCCTCTACCGCTGCGCTCAGAGCTATACAACACAGCTATACGTTCTGTTCTGATGTATGGTGCAGAGAAGTGGCTGATGACAACAAAACTTGAACAGCAGCTTCACCGAACTGACGTGAAGATGATTCGTTGGATGCAGCATGTTGACCTAAGGACCATATCCATACAACTGAGTTCCTGAACCGATCGGGACTGTGAACCTAATCCTAACATTGAAGGATGCATGTCGTCGTCATCACCGACGATAGTTTGGCCATGTGAAGCGAACCGAAAACGACACAATAATTTCCGTTACTGAGCACCAGGTGCCTGGCACTCGCCCAAGAGGTTGCCCAAAAAAGTGCTGGACGCAGACCATACAGGAGGACTTGAAGGCACTTGGTCTCAAGGAGACAGACGCAATGGATAGATCGGCTTGGAGACAGAAGCTTGTTTGAAATTATTTTAGTGAAAAAATTGTGAACGAGAATGCTAATTATTAATTATATTGTTCTTTTTTTGATAATTATAATTTATTATTGAACTTGATATAATGAACTTGATTAAATTTATTTATTGAAAAATCAAAAAAGTGTAAGCAAATGTTAAGTCTTTAAAAAAATATCACAACATTTGGTATGCTAAGCATGCAAAAGATATTTGCTATGTGCATTGTATGTATGTGTGTATTTGTATGCATGTATGTGTATGCGTGAGTGTGAATGTACGTGTATGTATATTTATTTATGTATACTTCTAATATTAATATAAACTTAAGTGAACCCTTAAATATGTTTATATAGAAAATATAAGATATATATATATATATATAATATAGTAAATAAATAACGATAAATATATCTTATATATATAGCCTACCTACTGCACTTGTTAATTTGTACAGTTTAACCCGAAAAACCAACAAAAATACACACGCACAATCACACACACACAAACACACACACGCACATATATATTATTAATGTGCGCTAGGTTAAACTTTACATGCATTAACAATATCGGTTAGTTACCCAAAGCTATAGTAGCAGTTTAAACCATCATTAAAAATTAAAAACAAAATAAAAAGTAATCCAACTATCGAAAATAAAATAAAGAAGCAGTAATCAGACCACCGGTTTCAACGAAATTTTTAAAATGGTCGTAACATATTAAAATTATGCTTTGGTGTCCAGCGCGTAGGCAAATTTTCTTGTCTGAATACCGGTTGAAGAGTCGGATTGAACGGTTGTTGAAACATCCTGGGTACGTAACTTGGTCTAACGAATGGAAACTGTCTTGCTTGATATCTGGGAGCATGTTGCGCTCGAAGTTTTGGTTGTGGCCTGAATCTCAGTTTTATTTGAGGCCTTGGTCGAGGTCCTAATTGCGGACGAGGTCTAATTTGAGGTCTAGGACGAACTTGTAGTTTAGGACGAAGTTGCGGTCTAGGTCGAAGTTGCGGTCGGGGTCGAAGTTGCGGTCTAGGTCGAAGTTGCGGTCGGGGTCGAAGTTGCGGTCGGGGTCGAAGTTGCGGTCTAGGTCGAAATTGTGGCCTGAGACGAAACTGTGGCCTTGGACGAATAGGTGGACGCACTCTTATAATTGGTCTCTTGATTATTCCGGAGAAAGGACGGAAAACCTCAAATCTTGGGACTAAAGGAATTTTCGGAATTGATGTGATGCCAGGAATGGCCGTTGCACATTTTATTATACCGAAAATTATACCTGCTGCTGCTGCTAATCCTCCCACAAGGCAACCAATAATAACAGCGATCGTAACTGTTATAACTGTGGGAGCTGTAAAAATAATAAATACAATTTTTTAACATTTATAGTTTATTGAATTAATTTTAAAATAATGTGGTTAATATAAAAATTTAGAAAAATTAAAAAATACATAAAATAACATTAAAAAATAAGTTGTAGATGTCTTAGATGTCATTGATTGTTTCTTAAGAAAATTTCATGCTGATTTCAGATTTGAAAACCGTTTTGCTCTATCAGGTCAAATTGCTAAGATATTGTCAAATTTATATATTTAGTTTGTTTGAAGAAGACTTTGGGCTAATTCATCATCATTTTATTAAAAGTCTTACTTATTGTTGAGTGTATTTTTAAACTCCTATATATGTTTATATAAATTACATAAAAATTTTATATTAAAATATATAATATATGTATATATATATATATATATATATATATATATATATATATATATATATATATATATATATATATATATATATATATATATATATATATATATATATATATATATATATATATATATATATATATATATATATATATATATATATATATATATATATATATATATATATATATATATATATATATATATATATATATATATATATATATATGTTGGTAATAGACCATAATTTTTTAATTTTTACAATATTCTATAAATTCTACCAAATGTTTGGCGTTAATATGTTTGTAGTTCGTTTATTCAATTTTTCTCACTAAAGTTTTTTGGTGAACGTTTAGTTTATTAAAATTCAAAATAAACTTATTTTCCGAATTCATGCTGCAAATAAGGTCATATTTCGATTCCGAATGAATCATCATCAGTGCTTTCTGCTGTTTATATAGGGAAATATTGACTTTGTCAAAATGAATTTAGATGGAGATTAACTTTGTCAAAGTGAACTTAGACGGAAATTAGGTGTCAGGTTTCTTTATTGGCTGGTCATCTTCTTTGGTCTCCTTTTCTTCATCGATAGCATCATATTCTTCATTGTATTTTGATTCATTTTGATAGTGGTAAAGAAGAATATGATATAAATTCGGTAGAATTTACAGAATATTGTAAATAAATATATATATATATATTAGTAATATAAGAATTTTGTATTATCATTTTTTAGAGATGATGTCAGATTTGAAAACGTGGGATTTGATGACCCATGCTAATTTATGTGCAGATAAGTTTGTGAATTGCATATATAATTTGTATTAGATATTTTGGTGATTTTTTCAAAATATGGTGACCAGAGGATGTGTAATATCATCTGATCGATTTTGCCATGTGTAGGGCCTTGTGACAGACAAATCTCATCGGAAAACTCACGCCGTTACTAAAAAAAGCATACGAATTGTATTTTGATTCAAAGGTAGATAGTGGTAAGTCTTGGGCACCAAAGTTCATTTATTTGACGTGTTCATGCAGCCGTAGTTGTTAGATCAGGAATGCAAAGAAAAACAATCGCATTGTATTTGGAGTTCCTATGATATGGCGTGAACAAAGCAATCACTTAACAAGTTGCTATTTCTGTTTGGCAAAGTTTAATAGAATTAATTTGAAAACTTGTTTATCTGTTTAATACCCAGACGTTTCGTCTGTTTCAAAACCAATTCCACATGATCCTGTGGCTTGTCCAAAACCACAAACTCCTGCAACATTCACAATTGATGAAGATGTGCATAAAAAAGTGATGTTTCGTTCTCTGCTAGTGGTTCCGACTCTGACTATAACGGGGTCACAGAAGAACACAATTTAATTAATTATGTTGAGATATAGCACTAACAAAAGCCAAGCAGAGCTGCTTGGTTCACGTTTGAAGAAATTTAACTTTTTCCGGGTACGGCAACAGCGAATTATCGTCTCAGGCATAAAAATCTTGTTCAGTACTTTAAAATGAGTGGTAGTATTTGCTATTGCACAAAAGATGTAGATGGCCTTATGTCGCATCTTGGAGGTAAATATATTGTTGAAGAATGGCGAAAGTTTATTGACTCGTCAAAGACTAGTTTGAAGGCAGTATTGTTGCACAATAGAAACAGGTATGCTATTCTACCCATGTGAAAGTAACTTTCAAAACATGTCGTTACTTCTGCAAAAAATACGTGATCGTGAATACAACTGGAGTATTTGCGGCGACTTAAAAGTAGCAGCTATTCTGACAGGATTACAAACAGGATACTCAAAATACTGCTACTTTCTCTCTGAATGGGACAGTAGAAATAGGATGCAGCATTACATCAAGAAAAATTGGCCAATTCGAAACACAATGCAGCCTGGAAATAAAAATGTTCAACATCCACTGTTATTTGATCTTGACAAAAGTTGGGACTTATGAAAAGTTTTGTCACAAAATTAGACAACTACAATGGTCCATTTAAACAAATGCGCAACAAAAGTTTGCGCTTCCACCAGGACATTCCACCACGCAATCAGGGTCGATGGAGTGCAGCAATGTTGTCAGACTGTTGTTGCAATATTTAACAAATGTTAAATTAAACTTCGAATTAAGTTTTATTTATCATATAATTATTATTATTTTTGTGATGACACGGAAGATGTTTGGGTCAAAAAAATTTTATATCTGCCATTGCAAAAATATTAAACAACAACCACCAGTTATAAGCAATGGGCCTAGCTTTTTTGCTAGAAGCACACAAGGCAGCGCGGTTGCAGTTTATCTCGTGCCCAAGAGAGCACTGTTGTAAGCAGTGCACCTAGCCTTTGGGTCAAAGGTTCCTGTCCCACAAGGCAGTAGATTTAAAATAGAAGATTATCCGCTGTTAGATCCGTTGTCCTATGATCCTCCGTCTCTTTCATCGTTGTCTTCTTTCTTCTGGTACAGTTGGTTCGCGGCATCTTATTCTGTATTATTCGATGCAATCCCAGAAGGTCTTTCTGCCCAGGACTTTCCCTTATCCACCGCCTGGGGACGCGTCTCATAGCCAGTACACCCCAGCATGAGAAGTAAAGTAACTTGAATTACAGTAAAAAGTAAGCTGACTGGAAGTAAAGGCGAACGATTTCGAATTGCTAATCAGGCCAAAAGACTGAAAAAGGACTAGTTGGTGCCACATTCATAAAGAATAATAAAGGCACCATGATAACCTTGTAGAATGAAGTGAAGGAAGGATTACTTCGCTCAGTTATTGAATGAAACAAACCCTATTTGGGTGGACTTGATGCACTTCCGGTGGAAGGACCTATTCAGGGCATTATAGCTGAGAAGCATATGGATGCGTTGAAGGTAATAAAGGGGGGTAAAGCGGCTGGTGGGTCTGGACTTACAAATGATATCATCAAGGCATCTAGTGGGACAGGATTCTGAGCCCTCTTACACATCTGTAGGGAGATGTGGAGTAAATCGATACTACCAGTGGAATGGAACAGTAGCACAACTGTGCCGATATGTAAAGGAAGAAGAGTTATGCTGAAATGCTCCTCATATCGGGGTATACGTCTTCTGGAACACCACCCGGAAGTTATTGAAAAAGCCATTGAGAGAAGACAGTTGTTGTGGGTTTCAATAGGTGGCTATCTGTACGACTTCATGGCAGGGAGATCCACCATTCATGCTATCTATATCATTCGTCAACTACAGGAAAAATACATGGCAAAGCAAAAGCGACTGTTCCATGTCTTTGTGGACTTGGAAAAGGCTTTTGACAGAGTGCCTCGTGAGGCAATCAGGTGGAGTCTATGTAGACAGCTTGTTCCAAAATATCTGGTTCGGCTGGTTATGGCAACGTACTCTAACACAACGTATTCTGATCAGCGCAACAGCCAGTAAAACGAATGAATTTGACATTAACGTCGGCGTCCATCAGGGATCAATACTCAGCCGCCTGCTCTTCATCACGGTGATGAAAGAAATAACCAAACCGATACGCTCAGATAACATATGGAATGCCATATATGCAGATGATATCGTTCTGACAGCGGCCTCGGAACAAGACGCAGCCAGAAAGTTTGAGGTCTGGAATACCCAGCTCGTCGAATACGGACTAAAGTAAACCTGGTCAAAACCAAAAAACTATGATCGCCGGTAGTACCGCTGAACCCGTGGTCTCTTGTAATTGGCCATGTTCAGGGTTTGGGGCTGGAGTTGGAAGCAACTCGATCAAATGCCTACGATGTCAGCAGTGGTGTCACAAAAGATGCTCGAGAATCACCGACTCATTGAGGAAAATGACTGATTTTGTATGTCCCGCCTGCATCAACCCGCGACAACGGGGCACAGATGATGATACGATTACCGAGATCGAAAATGTTACTTCATTTCAGTATTTGGGAGATGTGCTGGATTATACTTAAAAAGCTGATACCGCCGATCGAATACGTGTGGCGTGGGGTAGATAGCACCTTCTTGCCTCGGTACTGAACCGGGTATGTGCACGTTGAAGGATGCATGTCGTCGTCACTGAACACTAGGTGCTTGGCACCTGCCCAAGAGGTTGCCTAAAAAGTCCTGGACGCAGACCATACGGGAGGACTTGAAGGCACTTTGTCTGGAGACAAACGCAATGGATAGATCGGCTTGGAGACAGAAGCTGGTGAATGGAATAAAAAAATCCTACCCAAAAAGGATGGAATTTATAAATGAGGATTGATATAAGTATTATTATTTTAGTATATACAGCCATGTTTATGTTAATATTTAAAACTTATGTGAAAATATAATTATTATTATTTCAGTTTTTAAAGCCAGGTTTACGTTTATATCTTAAAGCCCCTGTAAAAATGTCATTTGAATAAAAGTTTTGCGTGAATATTAAATCTCTTACGAATAATTTAAGTAAATTAAAATTAACAAAATTTAAAATAGGAGTTATTCCAAAAACGGGATCTGATAGAAAAACACAATTTGGATATTGACAATCAGCTTGTTCAAAATTACTTTGAAAAATTATTGGATGCAGCCAAGAAAGATATCATGAAAAGTTTTTTTTTTAATTCAGTGAAATTAATTCTACGAGAAACCTGAAAGATTTAAAAGAAGTTAAGGGAAACTAACATGACGTGGTGACATGGGGTGTTGTAACATTTTGAGCTAGTACGACGGTTGTGTTAGATGTTGTATTGGTAGGCCAGAATGATGAAACAAAAGCAATGGAATGCGTGGTGAAATTTAAATTTCTTGTTGTAGGAACAGAAGTAGTAGTTGCTGTATTTGTTGTTGTTGAAACAGAAGTTGTAGTAACTGTATTTGTAGTTGTTGAAACAGAAGTAGTAGTTGCTGTGTTTGTAGTAGTTGAAACAGAAGTAGTAGTTGCTGTGTTTGTAGTTGTTGAAACAGAAGTTGTAGTTGCTGTGTTTGTAGTAGTTGAAACAGAAGTAGTAGTTGCTGTGTTTGTAGTAGTTGAAACAGAAGTTGTAGTTGCTGTGTTTGTAGTTGTTGAAACAGTAGAAGTAGTTGCTGTGTTTGTAGTTGTTGAAAGAAGTTGTAGTTTCTGTGTTTGTAGTTGTTGAAACAGAAGTTGTAGTTGCTGTGTTTGTAGTTGTTGAAACAGTAGAAGTAGTTGCTGTGTTTGTAGTAGTTGAAACAGAAGTAGTAGTTGCTGTGTTTGTTGTTGTTGAAACAGAAGTTGTAGTTTCTGTGTTTGTAGTTGTTGAAACAGTAGAAGTAGTTGCTGTGTTTGTAGTAGTTGAAACAGAAGTAGTAGTTGATGTGTTTGTTGTTGTTGAAACAGAAGTTGTAGTTGCTGTGTTTGTTGTAGTTGAAACAGAAGTTGAAGTTGCTGTGTTTGTAGTAGTTGAAACATAAGTTGTAGTTGCTGTGTTTGTAGTTGTTGAAACAGAAGTTGTAGTTGCTGT